CCAATATCACCTTGATCTCCAATGTTTTCATCAATTACTTTGTTAGACAAAAGCACTATAGACCATTTCGTACTTGTCGGATCATTGACATAGAACACTTGTTTAGCCTGAGAGGCTAGAATAAAAGGTTCATCTTTGTACCCCACCCTATTGAGATCCACTTGCAAAAATCCTGACTTATCCATTCGTACGCCATTATTATTTTCAACCCACTTGCAATCAAATACAGGAATCTGAAACTTCCCGTAATCAAACAACAAAATGCGCTCGATAACCCCAAAATATGACAGATTTGCAAATTTCGGGTTTAAGTCATTCGCACTTGATATGTGCATCGCTTCAGCTACCAAGGTAACACCACTATTCTGCATAGTACTTTTATCATCCTGTTCTTTGGTATAAAATGTGTATCCATTAATTGCGTATGAGCTATAAGAAAACACAATCATACTTGGACCATATGCTAAACATCTCAACCTTTCTGTTACTGAAGCAGGATCCGAACGATACTTTGAATAAATTTGTTCCTTAAACCACGGTATGAAACTTCGATTGTGCTCTCGTACTATCCAATTCTCATTTCTATTCAGATTTAAACCTCGAAGAACACCCTTGTGCATTTCAGCATACGGCTCAACCTCAATCTCATTGTGCAGAACATACAAATGCACCTGATCCCGTTCGACCATTGACACTGTCACAACTTTATTTCCAATTAGTCTTTTTCCTTCTTTTTTCTCGACAATATGAGATTTGGGGAGTCCAATTGATTGAACATTTGACAGATATTCAGTGCAAAACTCAACCGCTTCTTCAACAATGTATCGTTCCGCAATACAACCCTCCGGTCGACTTCGGTTTTTCACGTACCCTTTTAAAATTTTCATATAACGTTCAGCAGGGTACATCCATCTCATATAAGCTGGTCCGCACAACTGTGTCTCTTTGACAAGATGAACGACTAGATGAACCATTATGTCAAAAAATGAGGGAGGAAAATACATTTCAAGCTCACATAAAGTAACAACCACCTCTTTTTGCAATGTTGGTAAGATCGCAGGATCGATCACCTTGCTGCAAATTGACTTGAAGAAAAAACACAACTTAGTTATTGCGCTTCTTACTTTTTCTGGCAGAATAGAACGTATACCTATTGGTAGAAAATGTTCCATTATAACATGGCAATCATGAGTCTTTAAACTCTTTAACTTTAGGTCTTTCATTGACACAAGTCTTCTAATATCTGATGAGTAGCCTTCTGGAACTTTAACTTCACTGAGGAACTTACACAATATTTTCTTCTCCTTTCTAGATAGAGTGTAAACAGCAGGTGGTAGATATGTGCGTCTTCCTTTCGTCACGGGTGCCAATTCAGTTCTAATTCCCATGTTTAAGATGTCTTTCCTTATGTTAATGCCATCCTTAGACTTTCCTTGTATATTGAGTAACGTACCAATAACACTATCAAATACATTTTTTTCAATATGCATAACATCGAGGAAATGTCTTACGTACAACGACTTCCAATATGGAAGTTCAAAAAAAATCGACCTCTTCTTCCACCCACTCGTGACAAGTCTATGTGCAAAAGGCTTGCCAAACTCAGTACTCACATCTTTCACCTTTTCAAAAATCTGATCACCTGTCAACATATGTGGAGCTCTACCGTGTTCTGCCTCTCCATTGAATGCCTTTCTCCACCCACGATAGTGATGATTAGAATTTAAGAATCTACGATGACCGAGAAAAACATTCTTCTGACAAAAGTTCAATCGCATCGTATCGGTTTCATCTTCACAAACAGGACACGCTTTTTGACCCTTAATGCTGTACCCTGATAGATTTCCGTACGCCGGAAAATCATTAATTGTTCCAAACAACATCGCCCTCAAGTTGAAACTTTCTTTCCTATACCCATCGTAAACCTCCACACCGGTCTCCCACAAAAACTTCAAATCTTCGACTAAGGGTGCCAAGTACACGTCTATGTCATTCCCTGGTTGTTTGGGCCCAGAAATTAACATAGATAGTATCATGTACTTACGCTTCATACATAGCCACGGAGGTAGGTTATATATCATAAGAATCACAGGCCAGGTGCTATGCGAGATACTTTGAATACCATGCGGGTTCATTCCATCAGTAGACAACGACAAGCGAAGATTTCTTGCTTCTTTTCCAAATTCAGGATAATCAATATCAACTTTCGTCCACTGTGGTGAGTCTGCCGGATGTCGCAACTTCCCATCAATAATTCTTTCATCTGCATGCCAAGTCAAGTGTCTTGAATCGGTCTCACTACGATACATGCGCCTAAATCTCGGAATTATAGGAAAATACCATAACACCTTTTCCGGAGACAACTTTTCCTTATATCGAGGGGCACCGCATTTAGGACACTCATTTAACACTGCGTACTCGTTTCGAAATAAAACGCAATCTTTTGGACATGCATGTATCTTTTCATAGCTCATGCCAATAGAGGACAACATCTTTTTGGCCTCATACGTTCGATTGGGAAGAACATTATCCTCTGGTAGCATTTCTTTCACGAGGGCTAATAACTGTGTGAAACTTTTATCCGACCATCCGTTGTCCGCCTTTAAGTTGTACAACTTTAACACCGCAGACAATCTTGTGAATTTTGTACAACCATCATACAACGGTTTCTCTGCATCGCTTACCAACCTCTCGAACATTTTGGGACAATCCTCAAGATCTTCTTCAAGCGCTTCTGCAATCTCTTCGACTCGATCATAATCGTATGCGTCTGCGAAATCCTCATTTGAAGCATACGTCGTATTATAACTCGATTCAACATTCCCGCTACTTTTCTCACCATGCAAATTCCAACATGCATAACTTCTATCAATTCCATGCATCAGTAAATGCGATTCCAACTGAACCGCGTCAACCCGTCTCCCATAACAGCATCTCAAGCAAGGACATATCATTCCATTGGGTTCTCTGGCGTGCGCAACGGCAAACTTAACGAATTCTGATACCCCATCCTCATACTCTTTCGACAATCGATTGGCAGTCATCCATTTTTTATCCATGGTTTGACTATAGCAACTAATTAGTCACGCAACTATAGCAAAATAATAATTAATTACCTGTAAAGAAATTCAACATATCAGGTAATCAAATTCATAGTTATTCTTGCCTCACCTTAAGCATGTGCTAAACAACTCATAACTAATTACTAACTAGTGAAGTCGGATACTAGTGATTCAGTCTTGGATACAGGTAAACAACTCATAACTGTTATGGTATGCATATTTCATCAACATGATTAATGATGCGTGTGTACTAAATTAATTATATTCTAAAATGCAATAGATTTGTACTATGTTTATGTTGTTTTTTGTGCTAAACAATATTAAAACACTAGTCATCAATTAATCTAACACATAATGATAATATTATTAATCACTGATTTCAAAATTTCTTACCCACTCTTGGTGATAATATTTAATTCAAATTATCTACTAGTTATTATTTAGGAAGGTGATTTGATTGGCCATAAGTCGACATTACAAGGACATATTTATAAAGGCTTGGTTGCGCTAATTTTGAATTTCTTTACTTCTTTTTCTTCTGAAAAAACAATTTTAGAAAAGGTGGGACACCTAGATGTATCATACAACTAGATTTGCAGAAGGCATATGATACGATGGACTGACATGTCTTAGAGGGTATTCTTAAGGAGATTGGTATGCCTAGAAAATTTATAAATTAGATTATGTTGACTGCGTCAACTGTTTCTTACATATTTATTTTTTTATTATTATTATTATTATCTGAATACATATTTATTTTATATGGTGGTTGAATATTATAATAATATTATTATTATTTTAATAGTGGTAATTGTTTTTATTTTATTTTTTTAATAGTGGTAGTTGATTATATTATTATTATTATTTTAATAGTTTTAGTTGAATATTATATGAATATTATTATTATTAATTATTATTTATGTAGAATGAATTTAGAAGAAAAAAAATTAGGGTTGATGTTAGAGTAACTATCAAGACCACGTGTTTAGGATTGATGTTAGAGTAATTATAAAGATGACATGTGTCTAGGGTTGTCATCATAACACTCTTAGATTTATAATATTAAGATAAGATAAGATAAAATTTCATGAAGACCTGCGAATAAATTATAACAACAACTTCATTCAATTATGAAGAAATTTTTAGCACTACACGAGAGAAGTTGAAAATGCATTTGAGTGAGATCCTAAATTCAACACACACAAAAGACTTCTTATTTGACTTATGAAAAAATAAATACAACCAACATATATGATCGATACATGTATTACTCAATTGAAAGATGATTACATTAAAAGAGATCAAACAAAACACATTTCTTCAAAGTTCTTTTTCACTTATGATCTTCAGAAAAGTGGTGATATAAACTCCAATGAATCCGTTCATGTGATAATCTTACAGACCTTTTCACAAAGTCACTCCCAATAGAACTTTTAATCAACTAGTACAAAAGATTAGTCTTCATCGTCGAAGAAATATTCGTTTAGCTGAGGGGGAGAAATAAATTTATTTTAAAAGGATATTGTACTCTTTTTCTTTCACTAGATTTTTTTTCACTGAATTTTTTTCTAATAAGATTTTAAAGAGGCATATCCAAAACAAACATCCAAGGAAGAGTATTATAAATAATTGGATGATTGTGTCTCAATGATTTTATTCTTTATTTATAACAATTTATATTTATTGCATTGTATATATATGTTGTCATATAAATAAAACCAATCTCATTATAGAAAGACATATCAATAAAATAATATATAATTATTCTCATCTTTTTATCTTCTCTTTTATGTACTTTCTTTTTATGTTATAACTATATATATAATTATTGTTTTATTATATGAATATATCCTTGTAATCAGTGTCATAATAAAACACCAATCAAAATAAAAAAAATCTAACAAAAGACTTTCTTTTTCGCATGAAGAGGTCTTCTCATTATGAACTAATTCCTTTGGCAAATAATGACACCATATGCCTACATTTTTTCATGATATCTTGGATGAACATGGTAACATTTGTGTGAGAAGATCCTCCGTTTTCTACAGCCTTTTTAGCCATATCAGCAAACTCTCTTATCCTCTTTCTTCTTTCTTCACTTTCATTTTTCTCATTCATTAACCTTTCTATGCCTCTTTCAATATCTTCCTTGTTCACCAACACACTTGTTTCCTCTTCTTCACCCCATCTCATTGGACTCTTCACTCCAATTTTCACACCAACTTCTAATACTTGCACAACTAAAATTTCATTCAAAAATTGATCGGCAAAAAGTGGCCATGTAACCATTGGCACACCAGCACATATTGCTTCTATAGTAGAATTCCAACCACAATGCGTCAGGAATCCTCCAGTTGAAGGATGTGACAATATCAACAATTGAGGAGCCCAACCCTTTATTACTAGGCCTCTACCATCATTTCTACCATCAAATCCACTTTCCTCAATCCATTTTTCCAATGCTTCTAAATGATTTCCTTTTCTTATAACCCAAATAAAAGGTCTTTTTGTTGCTTCTAATGCTAAACCAAGCTCTATCAACTGTGGTAGTGTTATATTGCATAAACTTCCAAGAGATGCAAAAACAACACTCTCTTGCTTCTGAGAATCAAGCCACTTGAGATGAATCCATTCATCAACTGAAACGTTCATATTATTATGACCTCTTTGAACCTTATCAAGACTATCAGTGTTACTAAGTGATACAGGACCAATACACCAAACTTTATCATTTTTTACCTTTTTATAATCCTTTACAAATGCTGACTCTAACTCTTCAAAAGAGTTCACAATTACCCCATAAGAACCCATTTCACCCTTTAAGCCTTTAAGCCTAGTCCCATGCTTCACCCTTTAAGCCTAGTCCTATTTGTGATATGTTTATCTGAAATTTTTCAGAAAAACCAGGCAAATCAAAGTACTCATATGGATTATTAGCCATGGTTTGCATCATGTTACTAATATGTAAATTATACATAGACAATAGATAAAAGCAACCTGTTCCAACAAAAGAAATTCTTGGAATATTGAATTTTCTAGCTATGTTTATTGTATATGGTAAACGTGCATCAGAGATTATGCAACTTGGTGGGACACCTAGATGTATCATACAACTAGATTTGCAGAAGGCATATGATATGATGGACTGACATGTCTTAGAGGGTATTCTTAAGGAGATTGGTATGCCTAGAAAATTTATAAATTAGATTATGTTGACTGCGTCAACTGTTTCTTACAAGTTCAATATTAATGGAGATTATACTGATATTATAGTAGATATAAGTTTTGATAGCAACTTCGTTATTTAGACACATAAAATAAAACATAAAATAAAACACTAGTCCGAAATTCCACTTGCACGTATGTGGTTTTAGAATATGAGAGAAAAAACAATAAAAAAAAAAGTCGAAATTTCGTGTTAGATATCGCAATTTAAAACATGAATGTGATTCAAACAACATTTAGAGCAAAGTTCAAACAAGCATTGATTTCAAACATGCATGTGATTCAAACAACATTTTGAAGCTAAATTAAAACATACCTTGCAAGATGAAAAGAAAAGATGATGATTCAAACTGGAGGTTCCGATTCCAATATCGGGTTTTCGATCACCAAAGTATTCTTTAAGAGCTTTATTCTTCACAACCAAGCCAGAAGAAGTAAGACAACCAGTGAAGTAGCCACCAATAGCATGCAACTCAGTCCCTGTAACATCACCGACACTCAAATATTCCTTCAAAAAACCCTCAACCATAACTCTAGGAACATTTGTGATAACAACTTTAGAACCAGTTCCAGCAAAAATCTCACAAACATGAACATTAAGATTCTCTAAATAAAACTTAGGTAAAACAGCCCATTAAGATTCTCTTCCTCTTTGTTAAGCAAAGCATGACCCATATTTCTCTTCTTCTCCAATCACATATCATAATCAACAACATCAAAATTAATTCCAGGAAACAAGAAGCGATTTTTACCTGAGGCAAGATCTTAGTGGGTGGCAGCGAATGAATGGTCTCCAGCAAGTAAAGGGCGACGAGTGAAGGAGATGTCCGTGGAGCAGTGGTCGCGGTGGGTTTGAGTTCTAAAGCGGAAGGATCTAAAGCGGAGGTTCGGGTCGGAGACCGTGGCGGTTGTCCAGCACACAAAGAGGTTGTCGGCGGAAGGAGGAGTTCGAACAGCGGCAAACGGAAGGATTGGCGGAGGAATCTTGTCGGCGGAAGGAGGTTGTCTTTGATTATTGATGGATTTAGTGTTGTTAATGGTGCTGGAAAGTATATGTGAGTGAATGTGATATGCGGGAGAAGAAGAGCTTGTACTGTGCGTTTGAAGAAGAGAAAAGAATGAAATGTTATTTTGATGTTTTAATTTATTAAATTAAAAATAATATAAGCTATAACAGCGCTTTTGAAAGCGCTTTCATAGGGGGGCTTTTACCCGCGCTTTTTAGGGTAAAAGCGCTTTCATAGGTCCAGCTATGCCAGCGCTTTTGAAAGCGCTTTCAAAGGCCATTCTTCCACAGCGCTTTTTAAAAAGCGCCTTCATAACCCTATTATTTCATTTTTATTAATATTTTTATTTGACCTACCACAGCGCTTTTTAAAAAGCGCTTTCGTATCCCCCACCTATGCCAGCGCTTTTAAAAAAGCGCCTTCATAACCCTATTATTTCATTTTTATTAATATTTTTATTTGACCTACCACAGCGCTTTTTAAAAAGCGCTTTCGTATCCCCCACCTATGCCAGCGCTTTTAAAAAAGCGCCTTCATAACCCTATTATTTCATTTTTATTAATATTTTTATTTGACCTACCACAGCGCTTTTTAAAAAGCGCTTTCGTATCCCCCACCTATGCCAGCGCTTTTAAAAAAGCGCCTTCGTAGGTTTCCCTTTTTTTTAATTTTGTTTTTTGTGAAGGCTATGGCAGCGCTTTTTCAATAAGCGCTTTAGTAGAGGCGCTGCAAAAAGCAGTTTTTGGCGTAGTGATTCTTGGGTGGTTGTCTTTGTGTGGCTTGCAGGATGAGGACTAGCCTGTTTGAGCGGGCATAAGTGGTCTCGTTGATCCTAGGGCTCAACTGACCACGGCTCTTCGAGTGAGGGACAGAGGCGTGGTCACGGGAAAGCGTGTTGTGGTGGTTCCTAGATGATTGCTTTGCGCGTGGCGAGCAGAATGAGAAGTAGCTGCTGACGCGAGAAGAGGTGCGGTTGAGGGCGGTGATGGTCTTGTTGGTCCTGGAGGACAACCGACCACGTGCCCTTGGCTGAGGGAAAGATAGAAAAATGTGTTATTTACTTGTCCCAATTAATTGAACCAAAACTATTGGGTCATCCCAAATATAGAAATGGATTGGCTCAATGCCTGGGCATTGGATCAGACTAGAACATATTTTATCTTTTATCATCATCTTCAATCAGAGTGTCGTTTCCTCTAACATACTTATAATAGATAACTTCATTCATGTTTATAAAACTTTCAAATTGGAAGAAAAAAAATGCAAGAAGGGCTACCAGACTATGAAATTGGACATGGCAAAAGCTTATGATCGACTAAAGTAGTCTTTTACTCAGAACATGTTGAGAGGTTTTGGTTTTCCGACTAACATCATTGGCTTTATTATGAGATCCATCACTATTGCTTTTTATCCATATTATGATAAACGGCTACTCGCCTAATATTTTTCACCCTACTAGAGACATAAGACATGGATATCCGCTCGCGCCATATATATTTATCCTTTTATCCTCTCTTATTAATAAAAGCCAAATTGAGATGAAGTTGACTGGTATAGCTATAGCTAGAGTTATGCTTAAACTAACTTGTCTTTTTTTATAGATGGCAAAGTCATTTTTTGCAGAGTTAATTTGACTGAAGCACAACAAATTTTTGTAATCCTTAACACCTACCAGGAAGTAATTGGACAAAATTCAACATCACTAAATCTTAACTTATATTCAACTCCAGTGTGCCAAATGATTGGAGTCAGGAACTCAACAATATTCTTCATATTCCTATCAGTATCAGTTACTACCTGCCGTGAGCTTCATGCTTAAGTGCAAAAATATAAAAATTAGCATTTTCATTTCTTAATCAAAAGATATGGCAAGAAACTAAATGGTTTTAAAAAGATAAGTCTTCCATTTGTTGGTGGAACTAATCTTATAAAAGTAGTGACTTTGGTTATGCCTATCTACATTATGTTTACTTTCTTGATTTCAATAAGCATATGCAATCAGATTGACAACTTGGTGTCTAAATTTTGATGGGGCCAAAAGGGTAACGAAAACAAAATTTACTTGATTAATTGGAAGAAGTTATGTTTCCTTAAGGAGAGTAGTGGAATGGGTTTTAGATCTATTAGAGAGTTCAATAAAGCCATGTTGTCGAAAAAGGTTTTGAGACTCTCAACAATTATGACTCTCTAGTTGGCAAGTGCCTGAAAGCAAAGTATTACCTTAACTATAATTTCCTTCAAGGTAAAATAGGAATTGGGCCTAGCTTCATTTAGAGAAGCTTACATCAGGCTAAATTGATTCTCAACAAAGGATGTTGTTAGAACATTGGAAACAGAAATTCCACAACAAGTGTTTATGATAACAATTAAATTCCTAGTCGGCATGGGTTTAAATCCTAACACATAAACTCTAAGGAACAAGAGTGAGTGAAGTTTGGGACCTAATTGCCAAAGAAAACAAGTGTTGTAACCAAGAAACACTTAATAGGAATATTTGGTCAACTAACATTCAAGTCATTCTAAGTTGTGAATGGGCGACTTGGAAGATTCCAAGAGATCAATATTCAATTATGACATAAACCCTTGCGATGAAATTGGCCATGGACCTTGCGAAGGATAATGATTCCAATTGTTTCATTCTTGAATTAGTGTTTACAAGTCTAGTAGATATGATCGAGGGAAAGGAGAGCAATTTTTGGAAGAAAAAGTATAGTAGATTGACTATGAATTTCGTGGTTGAAGGTATCATGACACAAGTTTTAGAGCTCAAGTATGTTAGGATCAATTTTAAGACTCAGAAAGAAAATGTTGGTATTCATGGCCAAATGTTATAAAAATATACAACAAAGTCAATCAATTAGTCAAGCTTTATCCCACTAAATAGGGTTGATTACATTGACCAACTTTGTTATAATGTTTTATCTAGGACCATGCATCTGTTCAAATCGTTAATCTCAAGATCTTTCTTAGTAACCTCTCTTATAGTCTTTCTAGGTCTTCCTCTTCCTTTAGTTATTTAATTTTTCTCTCCATTTGATCTACTTTCCTTACTACGAAATCTGCAGATCTTCTCTTTGTATGCCCAAATCACCTAAGTCTATTTCTCATCATCTTCTCTACTATAAGTGTTACCGCAAATCTCTCTCTCTCTCTCTCTCTCTCTCTCTCTCTCTCTCTCTCTCTCTCTCTCTCTCTCTCTCTCTCTCTCTCTCTCTCTCTCTCTCTCTCTCTCTCTCTCTCTTAATATTTTCATTTCTAATCATATCTTGTCTAGTCTTACCATACATTTAACACAACATCGGCACTCTGTTACACTTACTTTATTCTCGTATCGATTCTTAATCATCCAACATTTTGTCTCGTACAACATTGCAAGTTTCAATGTAATCCGGTAAAAAATTTCTTCCAGCTTAAGTGGTACATTTGCGTCACATAAAACACATGAAGTCCTTATCCATTTCAACCACTCATCTTAAATTCAGTGATTTACATCCCTTTCTATTTCTCCATCATTTTGTATTATGGACTCATGATATTTAAAATGTGTGACTTGAGGAATGATATGGTCTCCAATTTTTACCTCTAAATTAGAAGCGCTTATTATTTTATTGAACTTACATTCCATATGCTCTGTCTTACTTCAGCTTAGATGAAAATCATGTGTTTCTAAAGCTCGTCTTCAACCTCACATTTAAATTCTTCTTCGACTCTCCAAGTATGACTATCATTTGCACACAAAAAAATGCATCTTGATGCTAGCTATTATATGTATTTTGTGAGTACATTTAAAATTAAGATGAAAAGGTAGGAGTTTAAGGTTGAACCTTGATGCAAATCTATTGTGATGGAAAAATCGTTTGACTCTTCATCTTAACCCTTTATGTTATAATAATATAAAGTACTCTCTTCGTCTCACAATAGGTATTTTCTTTGAGATTTTCACACTTTTTAAGATAATGATTAATTATGTTGATTTCAATGATCAAATGGATCTCGTTTACTAAAATAATCTTATTAATAATAGATAGCGCAATAGTTATATCAGTTAAAATATAATAAATAAAGGTAAGTGTTCTGGACTGGGCCCGCCCTGGCCCAAGAGCAAGAACGAAGGCCTAAACCAAGCAACTCTTCAAGGAGCGCGCGTCCAAAGATTTCCGCCAGCGCGTCGACCAGAAGCTGCAGCCGTGCCCGCCATTGCCCGCGAACATGGTGTCCTTGACCACGTGAACTCCAGCTCGAGCCCAGCTCGAGCACCCTCCTCGTAGGGCAGACTCTGACCGTTACCCGATCACCTAAACTCTGGAAAGACCGCGTCCTCGTCCCTCCTCATTTCTCGCAGAGCATCACCAAGATGGAGACCACGTGCGGGTCCCCACTACACACGTAGAACCTGGCAGTCCCTTTATTGGGCCAGTCATGGTCGGCCCAATAAAAGGACCTTGGCCCCGCGCTGGGGGCTATAAATACCCTTTGTTTCTAGAGGGTCAGGTATTCATTCTTTTACCCATACATACACTTT